CTCCAGCAACCCTCAGTTTGTTTCCTGCGATTAAGAATGCCTCATATCAGCGAGATCATATGATACATGTCTTTCTCTGTTTGACTTATTTGTAGTTGGTGAGATTTTTGCTTTCATTGCACATCCTTAAGAAGTAGAACCTGGGATGCTGCTTTGTAACAGAGTGTCTTGGAGATCTGGAGCAATGTGGAGAGTACTTTTCAGAGTCAGTGTGGAATTTACCATCTCCTCACAATCGTCGACCTACCGGTTACCAGGGCATAGACAATTTTTACATCAAGCCAGTTAGATGGCATGCATGTGTGTACACATGGCATTAAGTTTGATTATTTTTGACCAATAGCTTATTTGCTTTATTACTCATTTCCCATAGTGACTAATGCAGATTGCAGGGACGTCTGCAAAGCCCAAGACTCCCCCACCCCTCCTCTTCTTACCTTTGCTCATTATTCTTATGTTCCTGGTGCATCAGGGGCACGATCAACTAAATGAAACAGGTGCATTTCTAGAATTAACCCCAGAGGCTCACGGCCACCACTGAAGTAGAAGACGGGAGACGTGGGCATGGGCATGAGCATGCTGAGGAGAGGAGGAAAGGTCAAGGCCCAGGAGAGCCCCTCTCGGACTGTGGACCGCACTGAGTCGTGCTTCAGTTACTCTGGGTTTCGAGATTGCCTCTTTTTAGAATGTTGACAAAGGAAATAAACGCCATACTTACGTAAGAGGAACAAACGCATGCGCCTAAAACAAACTAGAGGGAGAGACATGTTTCATATGAAAGACGGGGCACATGGCACGTGGTTTAGCCTCTGATGCTTCTGAACCCAAGAAAACCAGATTTGATAAAAGCGCATAAACCTAAGTCAGAAAACATCAGAGGTGACAACAGATAAGAGAGTGTTAACAAAAGTTTCAGTTTGTGGGGACAGTGGTATCTGAGGAGGTTTAGAGACGAGTGACCACAGACTGGGAAGAGAAGAAGCAGTCAGGGCACCAGGGTCTTGGAGGGCTCAGCAGTCAAGGCACTGAGTACCTGTGAAGTGGGGAGGACAGACTTGCCGAGAGCTTGTGTCATAGGCAGATGATCGTCAGAGCTCGAAGGGCCCCAACCCCACGGGGCCAGGGTGGAAACGACCTTCTGCCCTCCGCACAGGAGCCCAAGGCCACTCACGGGGCCAGGGTGGAAACGACCTTCTGCCCTCCGCACAGGAGCCCAAGGCCACTCTCTGGGGAAGCTAAACAGCTTCTGGGCTTGGAGCCCCCAGGACACACAAAGGCAGGGATGCCATGGAGGAAACAAGGACCTCTCCTCATTTCCTCCCAAGGATGCTTGTTGTCAGGCTTTTAACATCTGAGCAGGAAGTTCGAGAATCACTCTTCAAACAAGGAGAAACCTTGAGATATTTGGTATAGTTTACCTAATGATCTGGCTCCTTGTCACTCTCCATTTTACACCATCATTTCACAAGCTACACTTAGAGTTTTCAAGCAGCTTTATTTCTAAATAACAGCAGTTTCCCAAAGGAAATGGGACACCCAAAAGATAAAGATGAAATGAAAGATTGAAAAAAATACACGCAGAGAAAGAAAGATAATAAACGTGGAGAAGACAGAGCCGTGAAAGGCAAAAGGAAAGCTATGCTCACCAGACGCGGGGCGCTCGATCTCTGGCTGCTGGTGGCTCTGACCCCTGCTTGCCTTTGAGGCTTGCACGACAACTCCTTGCTTGCTTTTCTTGGAAATACTGTCTGCAGATCTTGGTGTTGCTGTCGGGTCAGCTGTCTGTTCTTATGTTGGATTTGGAGAGACTCAAAGACTCTGCCAATGTTGCTGGCATTTTTCCAGAACCCTCAGGTCAGAAGAAACTTCAAAACAAACAAAATAAAACTGTAATTATTATCCTCAGAGAGATAAGAGAATTCATTGTATTCAAAAGGGAGTTACTCAGAGAAGACCTCTGAAACTTGAAACAAAGAAGATAGCAGAAATGAGTAATATAGAAGCATTGCAGTGAAAATTGAAGGAATTTTCCAGAAAGTAGAGAAAAGAACAGGGACTTAGAAAATTAGTAAAAACAAGCATGACGTTGAGATTCTTGCATTGACTAAATGTTTGTGTACCTTCAAAATTCACATTGGAACCCTAATGCCAGCGCGTTGGTGCTTGGAGGTGCGGCCTTTGGGCCGCCGTGGCGTGGTGGTCCTCGTGGTGCGTCGGTGTCTGGACAATAGGGTGGATGTGGGCACTCCCTCTGGCTCTCTGCCGCACCAAGACACGGAGAAAAGACCTCTGTCTGCAAACCAGACAGCGCGCGGGACCTGCCGGCACCCTGGGCTCAGACTTGGAGCCTCTGGAACTGTACGAGGTGGATTTCAGAAGCTGCACCATTCGACTAACAGAAGTTCAAAATAGCAAACAGAAATTATGCATGAAAGGACTGATATAAGACAAACTGAAGGACAGGAATTTCCAGTGAGCATCCACTGGGTTTTCAGGTAAAGAATGGAACGGAACGAATCACCACACCAGGACTCATAACAATACTGCAAGAAGCATTAAAATATCTTACTTAAAAATATCAAGATAAATATTACAAGAAAGAGCTAAAATGTTGAAAGTGGTTACTTCTGAAAAGTGGTTCACCAGGACAGGCAGCCATGGTTCAGAGAGTGCTGTTTTTCTGTAGGGGCCCTACATTTGACTTTTTCTGTAGGCCATGCTTATATATTAACATAAAAATAAACAGACATTACATTATTAAAAATGTATTTGAGGGGCGCCTGGGTGGCTCAGTTGGTTAAGCGACTGCCTTCAGCTCAGGTCATGATCTCAGGTTCCTGGGATCGAGCCCCGCATCGGGCTCCCTGCTCGGCAGGAAGCCTGCTTCTCTCTTTCCTACTCCCCCTGCTTGTGTTCCCTCTCTCGCTGTGTCTCTCTCTGTCAAATAAATAAATAAAATCTTTTAAAAAAAATGTATTTGAGATTTTCCCCAAATAAAGCACACTCATGTGCTGACATAGTTGTTTTTAGTGCTTTCCGCATGCACTCTTGGGCTTACCCTGTCAATGTTGGATTCAGTGGTTGATAAAGATGAGTCAGTGCTGTCCTGTTATCTACAAGTGCAAAGAGCTAACCACAGACAGAGGCAGCCAGGTGTGCCAGATGTCACCCCAACCCTGCAGGGAACTGCCTGGTAGATTCAACATGTTCTGGGTACTTTCTGCTGTCACCCTTGGGCTTTCTATCTTTGTACAGACCATGACCAGGTGCTGGGGTGTAACTGTAGCCTAAGGCTCTTGACGCAGACGCTGGGCAGGAAGTGCCTGGTAGTGCACACCATGGGTCCCCATTTCATCGTCAAGCAAAGACTGCCCTGCTAAGAATCAGTCTGGATTTCAAACCGTTCTTTCATGCATTGAGCCTTCGTCTCTGCTTTTGACTGAAGCAGCGTGGTTGGAAGATTGTATCAACCAAGTGGTTGCTGGCAGATTGTATCATCATGCTACCAATTCGTCCACCCCCTCTCTGTGCCTGTCCCTGCGGGAAGTTGTGTCTCCTGCTCTGTGATTGTCAGACTTGGCCTGTATCAATTCTGAGCAGAATCGTAAAGAGTCAGCTCGTGGTCCACCACCTTCCCTGTTCTCATCCCATCAACGTGGCAACAGCCCATGTGCATCAGAGCAAAGACAGCAGAGCTTTAGCCGGCCCATGACAGGCAAGTGGCACCAAGTAGAAATGCCTCTTTGTCACTGAGGCTGTTGCCACAGGCTGACAGGAACGAAGCCGGCTGACGCTGCATCAGGTGAGCGCCACCATGCCCGACTCCCCAGCAGATCCAAGTAACCCACACTTAGGATGTTGGCCTTCATTAAAGAAATGAGGAAGCCACTAATGGAGGATAACACATTCGTGTGTATGTTTGAAAAATCATTCTGGCTGAAGCATGGAGATAGGGTTGGGAGAGTGGACGAAATGGATGTGGGGATCTCTCTTTGGAGGCTACTGAGGAAATACAGGCATGAGATGATGATGGCATGGAGGTGCAGGAGTAGAAAAGGGAATGATGTCAAGAGATATTTAGGTAGAAAACCGGTTGGTTGTTGATGGGATTAAGGCAGAGGGAGGTGGCGCCCTTCTGGAGAGCGGGGAGTCCCTCACAGTAGGGAAATCTGTAGAAAGGGAAGTTGGGGATCACTGAGAAAAGGTAAAGGTCATGAGCCCCAGCGTAAATAGTCTGAGTGAAGGTGGACTTGAGGCATCCTAGCTGGTGTTTTGGGAGTCTTGCTCTACCTCCTTTGAAAAATCCCTGTGCAAGACAGGAAATGCTGTCTGCAAAGTTACTCAATGTTTTCTGACATTCTGGGGAAGTCTGTGCTCAGGTAAGTATCCTAGGAACACTTACTTAGTGTTTTTTTATTCCTATATTGAATAACAGCAACGAGTAAGTCTACTATTTTTTTTAAGCTAGACAATAAGTATGTGGCTCAACTGATGTTCGTATTTGCGTTTCTGACAAACAAGTGACAAATAGTCCCCCTTCTTTACAACTACATAGCAGACCAGGAATTTAAATGACTGCCCCAAATCATAAATGAACTTTATGGCAGTATTACGATCGACATTTCAGCCATCCACGCTGCACAGAGCTATTAGATGGCACTGCCCCCCTGCATCAGGTTGCAACACATCCAGCATGGCGGAGGGTGGGCGCAGCGCAGATGTTCTGTGAGGGAACCTCCTCATCTGTGCCCAGAGTGGCAGCAGTTAAATCTAGTAGCGAAGCATAGGTAATGATCCAGATACTGACCAGTCCAAATTATTAAACAAGTTCTTGCTTCGGCACATACTGACTAAAATTGGAACTATATAGAGAAGATTAGCATGGCCCCTGGGCAAGGATGACACGCAAAATTATTGAACAAAACAAGATACGTCATTTAGAACTTCTGGCCTGTCACTTTTCCATAATCTCTGGAATGGTGACAGGAGGTGGATGTGAGGTTGGAAATCCCCTGTTGGCTGGAAGACATGCCTTAGGGCCTCAACAAGTAAAAAGCAGGACAGAGACAAATCACCTTCAAGGAATGTGAAGAAATATGTGAATTGAAAACATTTAGCCCATGAAAACTAATGAGGTGAAGCCCTGATCCCATCAGAACCTGGTTGAGTCCATGTCTAATATCACTTACACAGTGTACAAGCAACCTCCTGTCCGTCCACATACACCCTTCAACTGACCTTAACTTCCGCTGCCCTCTAAGTACTTGGACCTTCTTGATCACCCTTTCTCTGGCTGTCCACACCCTCTCCAGCTTTGGGGATGTTGTCCTCAAACTGGCTGACCTGAAAGCAGCCTTTCCCTTCCTCTGGGAAATGCCCTCCTTTAAATGCCCGACCCTGTCTTGCAGGCTGTTCTGAACCACATGCCTGAGCAGCCCAGGATTCCGAGTCCCTTGGAATATCCCTTTCTCTCAAGTGTCGCTGCAGACAAATCACTCCCTGGAAATTACTGCTTCCTGTAGCAGAGCTGCCTTTTGAGAAGGAGAGTTTCTCCTCAGGGATATGGGTTCTGGTGGAGCTGCACACTCCAATTATAAGCTTCGGAGCAAAGAGAACAGAAATGTTTTTCTTCTAAAATGTTGCTGTTCTTGCCTTAGGTGGTCAACAATGCCCACCCTCAGCTGGTTCCCTGCAGTGCTGGCTCCCTCCATGCACTCCTCGCGCGCGGGCATCCCAAGGCAGCTTACAAGAGCAGTCACTCTGGAAGACAAAGAGTTGCTGCAGAAAGATGGAAGTCACCATGTTTATGCTGGACTCCTGATATAAGCCAATTCCGAGATCTTTGAGGATAACAGCCTACCAGACATTTATGCTCCCTGAGCATTAATTAATGGTTTTTTGCACAGATATCTATTCTGCTCAATATGCTTAGAGACTTGATTTAATTATAAAACCCTAACAAACCAAATTGTGTGTTTTCCACATGGTGAAGGACCACACACTCACTAAAGCTTTAAGCAGAATCAGTTTACTGTGGATTCTATCCAATATTATGATGTTCTGTTGTCCAAAAATACAGTTTTGAAAGATGAGGTTAGATTTATTCGTGCTGTTTGGCTGAGATTTCATTAAGTGAGAAGGCTTTCACAGTCTTCTTAGACCAAGCAAATTTTATTAGGCCAAACTATATTTAGGTATATCTATGGAATCTCTCCAATTTATTCTATGTTCTAAAATCTTGGAGGTCTGAAATTTTGTTTTATTTTCCCTTTTTAAAATTCCCTCACCCCCTGTGATATTATTCAAAGTAAAACACATTTTTGTTTCATATGTGACTGAGGACAGTGGAAATTCAGGATGTGCTTGGAGTTTTAGTGCAGGCTACAAAAGAAAAGTCCTCCATGGCCCCTTTCCTATGCCAAACCGCCACGGGGGGCACCTGATGAACCCCCTGGAGCTGTGGTGTCTGCAGCCGAGGGATCCCTTGTCTGGCACCCCAGCCTCTCACCTACACGCTGAGCAGCTGGTAGACCTCTTCTTAGAGGACAAACGACATTCAGATTTCTGGCATTCGTGTATTCAGGGGTTCCTTCCTTCAATCTCTGACAAACCTTAATTTAGGGCTGATTATTAACAGCCACAGAGCTGAGTGTCGCTGCTCAGACCACATGCAGCCAGCTCCCAGCGTTCGGTTCACCACACGTTTCTCTTAAGTTCCAAATGACAGTATGTTCAGGGCTTCAGCACAGCACAGAAAATGTCTCCATCTCCTGTTACTGATCCCCTGAGCCATAAACTCCCCAAGAAAAAAAAATCTTTTTCTAAGGAGACTGGCTTCCTTTCAAGCTTATGAAAATCAGCCAGAGGGCTCAGGCTAACTTTAGACAACTAAAAATAAAGTGAAAACTTGGTTTTAAAAATTATTATTATGATTTTTAAAAAAATTTTTATTGTTATGTTAATCCCCATACATTACATAATTCGTTTTAGATGTAGTGTTCCATGATTCATTGTTTGTGCATAACACCCAGTGCTCCATGCAGAACGTGCCCTCTTTAATACCCATCACCAGGCTAACCCATCCTCCCACCCCCCTCCTCTCTAGAACCCTCAGTTTGTTTTTCAGAGTCCATCGTCTCTCATGGTTCGTCTACCCCTCCAATATCCCCCCCTTCATTCTTCCCCTCCCGCTACCTTCTTTTTTTTTTTCCTTAACATATATTGCATTATTTGTTTCAGAGGTACAGATCTGAGATTCAACAGTCTTACACAATTCACAGTTATTATAATTTTAAAAGCCTTTTTGAAATATACTTGTATAGTGGTACAAAATCAGATTTTAAAAAATTTCATTGTCATCATGACAATAAGTCTGTTTTTGGCTCTGATCAAATGAAGAACTTGTGTAATGAATGCTTCTTTTTTTCCTCTCTTAAGAACCGATTATGTAAATGCTGTCTGATTCCACTTACACGAGGCATGAAGAGCAGCAAAATCATAAAGACAGAAGGTGGGACGGAGGTGCCCGGACGGGGGAGGAGGTGAGTGTTTCATGGGGACAGAGGTTTAAGTTCAGGCGCTGAACAGAGTTATGGGGATAGACAGCTGACCGCGTGCATGGATTCAGTACCACTAGCTACACACTCAGAAATGTTTAACATGGTAAGATTTATGTTATGTGTATTTTACTACAATAAAAAAAAAAAGAAAAACCAAAACAAAACCCAAATGTACACAATTCTGCTGGAGACATGGCGGTAATTGTGAACTTCACCCATCACGCCACCCCCCTGTCACTTAGTTCTTAAAAATGATCTTTCCCCTCAAAACACTGGATACATTATCAGACGTAGGTTCTCTTATAAGTGGTGTTTTCCTGATGTATATATGGATTTACCTGTTGTTATTTGGCTTTCTTTTGAATATTATACTTTTTAATATACACTAAAAATATAAAGAACAGAAAGACTCAGAGAAATGTCAGCCCTGGTCCCACTCTCTCTCCTGCTTTCATGGAGGAAATGCTTTGTTTTCTTGGCAGTTATCATTGTTGAAACACAAATGTAAATTTTCTGAATCTCTCTAAACAGGAAGATTCTTACCAGAACTTAATTGAGGATAATTTGGCCATTTTATAAAGTGGATTTTGTACAGGTAAGTTCTACAACAAATCCAGAAATAGAGTGTTCAAACACAGCTTCCTGGAGACAGAGGAGTCCCTGCACGTGTGGGGACTCAGTCTCTCCTGGGTGTGAACTGCCCACTGGTATCTCCATCCGTGGAGTGCTCACAGCCGGGGTGCAGTGCTGTTCTTCACCAAGTCTGGGCGCTCCGTGCTTCTGAGGTGAGGAGGGGAGCCGTGAAAACAAATCCCAGGGGCCTCCCTCCGTGCACGCCGCCCCATCCTGGAAATATCCTGATGAGGGTAGATCCTTTGTCACTTTTCCTTCAGCAGACATGGGCACGAAGCTGGGTGAGTTAACCCAGAGTCAGCTGTGGACGCACGTCGGTCCCACAGCTATCTCTGTGCCACGTGGAGCGAGTGTGGCTGGGCAAAGCCCCCCTTCTCCAGACCACAGAAGCAACAGCCGATGCGGAGAGTTACAGAGATCTAAACACACATGATTAATAAAAAGCAAACAGCAAAATCTTGCCAAATAAGTGGAGAGCCTCTGGGGAAAACGTCCAGAATTCCACAAAGTGGGAAAACCAGCAGGACTGAGGCTGCCCTTTAGTATCATGACTGCGTGGAGAGGCCGTGCTTCTGGGGTTCTGAGGGAACGCTCCCCACGTGAACACACACACTCCAGGGGGACCCCAGCGACAGACGCAGTTACGCACATGTGTATCTTAGTCATGAAGACTGTTTTGATATCAGTTTTGAACAGTTTTCTATAAGTAACAAAATGTAAATATGTAGTTTAAGACAAAATAATCCGAGATCATTAGTAGAACTTCGTGTCTCCAGCATCTCCGTGGCCCTCAGCTCAGCCATAACCATGGGTAGAGTAACTCCAAGGACAGTTCTGTCACTGGAAGCTTCTAGAAGCAGCTCCGTCCTGGTGTTGGTAAGACATTACACCCATTTTACCTATCCTGTGCCTCCGAGACTCTCAAAGCCAGGAGACTTTCCTTGGAGCAGAAGGTAAGCGTGCAGGGACGGGAAGCATTGCTATCCCCTCATGTTGCAGAGAAGAAAGCCAAACCTTGGGGAAACCATGTAAACTGACTGTGGCCCAGGGTTAGGAAGTGACGTTATAAGGGTCTGACCCCAATGTCTGCTCAGCGCCAAACCCTGTGTGCTGCTCACGCTGTGTCTCAGGGACTCGTGTTTCCAGGGGTGAGGATCTGGAGCCGCGGTGTGATAGACAGACTCAGGGAGTACCCATCCATAGTGTACCGAGATGGAGGAGAGATTCCACCCGTTATCCTGCAACAGAAAAACGTGTCTGAGGAAACAGCTAAGAAAACCCCAAGTCAGATGTGCAACAGACAAAAGAGAAGCTGTCTGTTAGTGTGGCAGTGAGCATGGTCGGAAGGTAGGACTGAACTGCGACGTTTCGCTCTGTTAAGCCATGACGTGGGGAACTGACCCAGGTGTCCCGACCGGACAGGCTGACTCACCTCTCCAGGCCCTGGGGGGAGGCCCTCTGCCCCGCACATCCCCTGGCGGTCACCACGCACTGGGCAATATCACACAGCCCTGGAAATGTGCTGAGAGCTATTACCAATTATTAGCAGTATTTTCCTTGGTGCATTATTCTCTGTGAGAAGAGAGAGAACAGCTTTTATCTTGGCTTTGTTTTTGTACCCTTAGCTTTTTTTCCTTTCTCTCTGACAATGTCTTTCTGTGTAATTCAGCGTAGCTTAAGCCACTCTTCCGCATTCGACAAACATTGGTTGCAAGGCTCCTGCGTGGGACTGAACTGACAATACTCGAACGCACACACGCCCTTGATTCTTGCGAAAGCCTTTTAAGGGCTCTCTCTTACGGGTAAAAGTCATGGTGGTGGTGCTGTTATAAAAACCTCTCCCCCAGCCTGAACTGAGAAGGAAAATCAGGAAATGGGTTTTTGTGCCACACCTAGTGAGGGGCCGTGTGCAAATTTCCACTTAATATGGAGCGTTTCTGTCCTTGAAAAAGTGAATAGAAAGTTACAAAACTATTAGAAGCAAGGTTTTCACGCTTTCTGCGTAAACATCCAAAGAGGGCTTTTTCCAGACTTGGCCTGACAGGTACCTGGGCTGGCAGCCCTGTCCAGGAGGGCAGGGAGCCGAGACACGAGGCCACCACAGAGTCTAGGCAGGCGGAAACAGACGCAGGATGGAGGATTGCGGGATGAGGGCAGCGACGCAGACGATCCCGGGGTCCCAGGGGGGTGAGGTGGGACAGCGCTTTCTCTGTGCAGACTTCACAGAGTCACTGACTCCGTGTTGCTGACCTTCCCTTTCTTCGTATTCTCCACTTCATGCAAGAAAATAGGAGGCTTCGACGGTGCAGAATTTGGACAGAATTGTTCTCACAGCGGATGATATTTGGATTTGTGATTTAAGTGGAAATAAGGACATATAAGCCGTTGACTGTAGATGTACCTTTGGCTCAGGCTGTTTGAGGGGTTGGAGCAGCTGAAAGTGGGCTTTGAAAGAAGGAATCAGAATGTCACACAAAAGATCGTGGTAGTTAAATTTTAGGAGATTAATGAATTAATCTTAATAAGTTAATCAAATTAAGTGGTATAACTATCAGGTAAAGCCAGAGAGAAATCCCCGGTTTGCCTTTGTTTTCCCTGAAATGATGGATAGGCATCACTCTAACTTAAAGGCTAGAAAACATAGGCTGAAAAAATAATGAAGCATAATTACTGTAAGATACGTTGTTGGTGAAAGAGGCGGTCACTGTCAGGGTGTGAGATGGGCCGTCCAGATGTCAGGGTCGGAGTCCCAGCACAAATGTGAGCATGAACACGGTGACAAGACACTTTTCTCTCCACTCACAGCTTTAGAGCCATGACCCCATCCACCCCACCAGACCCTGGGCTTTATGCCCCACTCTGCACACGGTGCTTGTTGAGTAAGAACAGCCCTTTCAGTTGGTTGAACGTCTGCCTTCGGCTCAGGTCATGATCTCGAGGTCCTGGGATCGAGCCCCATGTCGATCTCCCTCTCCCTCTCCCTCTGCCCTCTGCTCGTTCTCTCTCTTTCTTTTTCTCTCAAGTAAATAAATAAAATCTTTAAAAACCCAACAAAACAAAGAATAGCCCTTTTGCACATCAAGCACCCCGTAACCGGTTCTGGCTCTCCTTCAGGAGGGCCTGGCCTTTTTCACCTTGCAACCACAAGATGGATGGTTTGGGGTTTTAAGCGCAGACGTTCAGTAAACAGTGCAGCCTGTCCCTCCTGAGGGCCGCAGCCAGCGAGAGAAGGCTGTCCACAGGAGGGAGGGAGCCCTTTAGTCGAGGTTCTGCGACTGGCCAGAATTTCTTCATGGAATCCCTTTGAGGAGTCAGTCTGGAAGCGTGTGGTTTATTTATCTATTTTATTATTATTTTTTTAATTTAAATTCAATTAGCCAACACATAGTACATCATTAGTTTGAGATGTAGTGTTCAACGATTCATCAGTTGCATATGACACCCAGTGCCCCATGCAGTACGTCCCCTCCTTAATGCCCATCCCCCAGTTACCCCATCCCCCCACCCCCCTCCCTTCTGTAACCCTCAGTTTGGTTCCTGGAGTCCAGAGTATCTCTTGGCTCGTCTCCATCTCTGATTTCTTCCCATTCAGTTTTCCCTCCCGGTGTGGTTTATTATTATAATCGGGAACTTGATAAAAATACTATTTCTTTGTCTATAAATCCCAGAAGTCCGACTTTTCTGTCATGTTGTCTTCATCTCTCTGGAAACAAATGTAAAAGAAGAACTCAGTGCAGAGATGGAATGAGAATTTATCCTTAGAGATAATGTGGCCAATAATATTTAGAAAGTTGTATAATAATTTACAAGCCATATGGCCGTGGTTGGGGGCTCAGCTGGGGTGAGGCTTTCTTATCCTCTCCAGCCGAAAGAACAGAATCAGGGTGTAGCAGAGCGTGGTGAGCAGCGCTGGATCCTTGCTGCGGAGGGGAACTGACTGGTCCCTAGGACCTTGGTTACTGGACATCAGATGCTGCAAAGTGCTCTTTCTGAATGAAAGGTAATTACAGTATCTAATAGCAACTCCAGGAAGTGCACATCCTACAACTTTTCCCTTCCCTCTGGCTAATAGAAATGCACAAGCAAAGCCATCCATCTCCTCCACGGATAAGGACTGCTTTGGGCAACATCCCTGAAGCCCCAGTCCCTCGAGACACCATTTACATGGTGAGAACGTGGAAGAGGAGACAAGGCTTGAGAGCAGGAGAGAAAGGAGAAGCAAGGATAAGAGGGAGGGTGGGGAGAAAGGAGAACCACTTATGCACTCCTGGTCCAAAGAGCCAGTGTCCTGGAGGGCCGGGGGGAGGGTCAGCGTGTGTTCCGTCCTCAGAGAAAAGTGCAGCCTCCCCTGATCCAGGATGGACATAGCGCTTGTCAGGATTCAGCTGCCGGCACCTGCGAGTGAATTTTGTTTCCTTCCTGCGTTAAGATCTTTGAAGACACCTTTACCTTAGGAGGACGAAGGTTGAGAAAAAGAGTCCCAGTGACCAGCACTTCCATAGACTCCACGGATCTTGTCCGTGTCCTCTGAGTCTCCAAGCTACCCCCCATTTCCTCCCACTTCCAATACGTGGCCCAAGGGGCCCCCCATTTCTTCATATGGTGACTTTGTCCACAGTGAGCCTCAGCAACAAGCCAGCTGTGGTGGGCAGATCTGCGTGGAGCTGTCACTCTGCTACTGACCACGGGGGCCACCATGCCACGTGCGGTGCCCTCCACCGGTTAAAGCCCAGAGACAGGGTGCTGGCTGCACCTGGAGGGGGAGCAGGTGCCTTCCCCCTCACTGACCAACCTTCCTCCAGGGGAGCAGGGCACCCTGGGCGCAGGGGCTCTGTTTCGATTCCACTCTCTGTGAGGCTCCATGTCTGGATTTAAAGTGGTTGTTACGGTGCCTCCTGTTTGTGCAGAGGTCCCTGGTGACCTCTCTGCCCAGAGAGCCTCGTTCCACGGCCCTCGGCTTTGGCTCTTGCCTGCGCCTCACTGCAGCCCTGCATCCAGACACGCATCCTGCAGCGTCTTCTCCAAAGGTGATGTTTAAAGCAGGAATAGGAACGATGCTAGGACAGTAATGATCACTTTACCTGACCTTGGGTTCCTTATTTATAAAATGAAGAATCCGGAGTGGAATTGGCCCTCATGGGGGATCCCTGTATTTAATATTTGAATTTATAACCAGAAGATTTAGTTCAGTGTTAGCTTTTGTACATCACCTATATGACCTTGAAGGAGCTGCTTACATGTTCCTCAGATGTTTGGGGAAAATGCAAAATATAAAAAAGGACAAAATTCTAGATGAATCATCACCAACAACTGAATAAAAACACACTTATTTCACAATACCAAATAGGGTTTACTCAGGCATACCAAAATGATAAATGGAATTTCTGAATTTCTCACTCTGGGAATGTCTCTGAATAAAGTGGAGAAAATTGGTGATAGCTAGTTTGAATAGCAAGAAATTTCTGGAAGGAAAGCAAACCTTAAGTATATGAAACTGATCTCCAAGAGAAAAATGCAAGCTCAAAGCAATTTTATTACTATAAATGTACCTTCTTTTTACAATAGTAATGTGACCATATTACAAACAATACGTAAGATAGAGAAGACAAAAATCACCTTGAACAACCCAATCATCATCAGTGTGGCCGCCACCAATACTTTGGTGTAAATTCTCTGGACTGTTCTCTACATTACATGTCATCTGGTCACACTTACAGTGTGCAGGTCGTCTGATATATATTTTCATACTTACAGCTCAATTATAAGCTTACCTCCATATTGTCACATAGGTTTTAAGCTTTGGTCTAGAGGAAGAACGGGGTTTCTCCAATTTCTCTTGTCTGCCTTACAAGTGCATTTCACTTTGCTTTTATGCACCAGCTTACACAGGTGGGGGACAGACGCCCAAACTGAGCACCAGAAGGAATCAGGGTGTTTGAGCTTCAGGCTGACTCAGCTTCTTGGGGGGCACAGGCAATCTTCGGGCATCCCCTCCTTTCTCTGGGCGCAGTGCCGGTCTGGCCTGGTGCCTGTGAGGGTGCTCTGCTAGCCCCCCTCCCTGGCTCTCCCAACTCCTCAGCCCTCTTCTCAGCAGCACGGGCTCCCCAGTTACCTGCAGACATCGAGGAGCCTCTGTCTGTGTCCCCAGGGCTCACATAAGGGTGCCGCTGGGACCCCCACAGAGCCCAGCCTGCAGAGTCGGAAGGAGGAGAATGCCCTGTGAACTCCTGTCCTTCGGCTTCCTTGCTCCTGGTTCCAGAGGCCTCTCCTGGGCGGGTAGAGCTGCCTTACTGTATCCCGAGCCCATCGCTTTGCAGAAACCTTTCCAGGTCTGGCCGTTTGGTAAGTTAAGAAAAACTCAGGGGATTTAACAACAAATACGCGCATGGATGTTTGTTGTGTGTGCGTGTGCATATGCATCTCTGTGTGTGTACGCGTGTGGACGCACACCTGCTTGTAAGTTTACATATTTATCTTCTCACAAACGTGACCTCAAACATCTTGTGTCTCATTCCTCTGCCTCTGCCGCAGCCCCTCCCCTGAGGCACGTGGCAGCTTCTGCCCAAGGCTGGGAACCATCACAGGACAGAAAGCGGAGGGGTTAGCACACTCGTGGAACCCACTTCTGAATGATCTCTGCCCTTTACCTCTCCCGCAGTACTTGCCTTACTGTTTCGTGTTTGCTAGAATGTGTGCAGCAGGGGGTGGGCTGCGTGGGGGCCTCGGGGGAAGGTGCAGAGTCGTCTCCCTGTTGTGCAACAAACACGAGGCTCAGTTTGTCATCTGTGGGAAGACGGGCCTTCCCTGAGACCAGCATCTTCCTCAGCAGGAGGGGAAATCAGCTGATTCTTCCCGTGAGGCACGGAGGACCAAATGGGAGAAGACAGTCGCTCTGTCCAAAGAGGACGATCAGGAGGTCCGGGTACAGTTCGATATTCCGGCCCCTTCGATCCCGGGGCACTCTTTCTGAGGTGGGTGTGGAAGGGGGTGTGGGATGAAACTCAGGTGAAAACGTCCTGCTAATGCTGCAGAAACGGATGAAATGTTAGTCACCATTGCAGAGGCTCCTAGATTCCTTCTGGACTATTCCTCTTTATGTAAGGTACATTGAGCATCTTACAGTTACTGTCAGGAGCCATCTAGGTGCCTGGAAGCATCACTTCTGCAGGGACATACAAAGCGAATATCAGGCAGTTCCTCTAAATGCTTCCAGAACCCCGTTTCCAGTCTAACCCCATTCCACATGTCGATCTCCGTTCCTTTCACATCATGCTGCGAGGCCAGCGGGGAGCCGTGGCCTCTCTCCTGCTCACTCCTGGACAGCATGGGCATAGCCCCTGGCACACCGTTCGTGTGTGCCCCAGGGCTCAGCAGCTGAAGCCTCCACTCCAACACTTGCACTGACCAGCCGGCACACACGTGCCCCTGTCTTCTAACCTCTTGTTCCAAAGCCTGTGCTAAATGCCTTCTAATAGGTGTTTCTTTCTCGATTGCCATGCCAGCCCCGAAAGGGCTAAACAGATGTCATCGAGCCCTGCCTCAGAAGTGCAAGAGGGGCTGGACCCCCGCCCAGCGTGGACACGTGGCTCCAGGGCTCCTCCTGCACAGCATGCAGCCTCCCCTTCAGGAGAACCGTGTCTCCAAAGCCGAGCTACCGTCAAGAGATGGCCAGACTTCGTTATGTCCTTATGTGCCTGCTCATCTGACTTCCAGACCTTTTGTGTTCCTCGGACTGATCTGGCCCACGTCCGCACTGTGGGTCTGGGGCCCCTTTCCTCTGGAAGCCCCATGTGGGGGACCCCAGGTACTGTCAAATCAAGCTCTGTGGGGTTGCCCACAAGCTTGCTTCCTCAGCACTCCCTCAGAAGCTACTACTATTTGGGTCCTTATCACCCTTTGCCTGGACTGTCCCCCAAATGGCATCAATATCTTCCCACTGCTCAGTTCTCTCTAGTTTATCTGATAAAATATACACAGTACAGCTATGATCACGTCATTCCCTTCTCAAAACATCACTGACTTCCAATCCCTTTTAAATATAAATATAACCCGACTCCAAAGTTGTTCTCAGGGGCTTTAGCCACCTTTTGAACTTATGTTTTCTCTACTTCCCTTTAACTATTGTGCACTTCGTTAAACAGAGCTATTTACACAGCTACGTACGTCTCCCACATTTTCCCTCCTTGGGAAGACTCTATCTATTCTTCAAAGGCCAGGTCACGTCCTTCCCTCACGAAGCCTTCACTGGCCCTGTCCCGCATCACCTGGCACTTTCCATCTTGCATGCATGGCACCTGGGGACCGGTCTCTTCGACATCACGTTGGGTTCCCTGCACCCAGCACGGTGGCTTGTGGGGTTGGCACCTGCAAGCTGGGCTAAATGGGTTGTTTCTTTTACTTTGGTCTCATTTACTGTTTTGGGAGAACAATGGGTCTGCTTAATTAGTCTATACTGCTACATTTTAGATGTCCAGCTTCCAAGCGAGGGTATTAAGTCAATCACTTATGTCTTGATGACAGAGCTACGCCTCAGCGGCCTCTCAGCTGAGCAGTATCCAGCATCTAAAAGCAGGAACAGATGCTTAGGCTGGGCTGCCATGGAGACGAATGTTCTCTGATCCTCTCTGTGAAGAATGACTTCAGGGTTGCTGGTTATAGAAATGAATGTTTTTAGTCAACAGTGCATCTCAGCCTCCAACATAAGAAAACCCTATTTCCAGTGCCATGCCCGTCTGAAGCACCAATTGGTTTTGCTTCCAAAATCAGTTGTGTTGCCACCAAATTAAATCGGCTGTGAAATAATGGTATCTGCCAACATGTGGGCTTTTGGTTAATTATTATCTTTTTATAAAAGACCTATGCTTTAATTGATACATTTTCTTTTACTTAAGCCATTAATGATGTGCTATTCTGGCCTTGTCATCAGGTAGCTCTGCAAATAGTGTATTTTTGGAATGATAATAAATGGCATTTGAAAAGTGTTAATGCCAATATCTTCGTTGCCCTAAGAGAGTCAAAAACTAATTAAAAAAGGAATGAACACCATCATAGAGTCACATGGGTTGAAGCTGAGTTTGGTAAGGAACTATGGAAAATTAAAACTGAGCTTTTAAGTTTTGGCTTTAATAGAATCGTTCTTTTGGAGATGGTGGGTCAACTGGGACGACAGAGATTTTTTATCCTCTTACTAGTAAAAAAAAAAAAAAGTTTTCTCTTTCCAATGAATAACTAGAAGGGAAGTCTGTTCTTTAGTAGACAAGTATATATGGACTGAATATTAGTGTCCCCCCAGGTTCATAAGTTGAAACTCTAACCCCCCAGTGTGATGGTATTTGGAGCTGGGTCATGCCGTTGGGGCCTTTGTGATGGGATTAGTACCCTTCCCAGAGAGCTCTGTCTCCCTGAACAAGGAGGGGGTCATGGGAGCTCACAGCAAAACGGCAGCCTCAGAATGATACCCACCTTCCGGTACCTGGATTGTGGACTTCCAACATCCAGACCTAAATGTGAGAAATAAATTTCTAGTTGTTTAAGCTGCCCAGTCTATAGTATTTTATTGTGTCAGCCCCAAATCCCTGTGACAGATAACTTAGAAAGTTACTCATTAAAATAATGAATGCAAAGAGTAACAATGAAAATTAAAATGATCTCCATAAAATGACATGTGTGTTACTCAGTTTAACAAGACATTTGCAGATACAGTATCAAGAATCGATTATCTTGATTCCTTCATAAATTTTTGGTAAAATAGGGCAGATCGATTTATCTCTGCTTTGTACATGAAGAGACTGAGGAATGCAGTGTTGGCGACCTGCCCAAAGCTACTCATTTTATATTGTGCCCTATCTTCCTGCTCACTGAAGCCAAATCACTAGGCCCTAGGCATTGCATGGACAATCTATCAGTAGCAACTAAAGGAGGGCTCAGTTAAATGAATTATGCACATGCAGGCATTCAGTTGGCATGCAAAAATGAACTGGGATGTTTCAAATAATTTTTTTTATTGTTATGTTAGTCCCCATACATTACATCATTAGTTTTAGATGTAGTGTTTCATGATTCATTGTTTGTGCATAACACCCAGTGCTCCATGCAGAACGTGCCCTCTTTAATACCCATC